TCACACTAGAATTAACATGTGATAGGATTGGCAACAAAAATCAAAACACAGTTAAGTATTTGTTATTTAAGTCAAATTGAAACCCAATTTTCAATTGTATAGCACTGGACGACAAGCATAGGAGACGGTCGTCGGCCGACAAACTGAGCGATAGGTTTAAAAAGTCTGGAGTACCGGTCCCTCTACCAGACCGGCCCAGAATCGTCAAAATGACCGACAATGATGTGACCCTCTCATGGCTGCCATCCGTTCCCATTCAGCCCAGAATTCCTGTCACTTATATAATAGAGTTCTGTAGGATTCCGGACGGAGAGTGGTTTGCGTATAGAACTGGTATGTAATCTCATATTCATAGCAAATGTCGATTCATTAAGCATTCAAATGAAGAGAATTTATTGTGAAATATAACAAAAATGATAGGAATTCAAGACAATCAGTGCACTGTTGACGGACTTAGTCCTGGAGTAGACTATGGTTTCCGCACACGTGTGGAGAATAAGTACGGAATCAGTGATCCATCGCCTGCTGTCACCGCATACAGGAGTAAACTCCGGCCCTCAACAGAACTCGGAGATCATAAGCCAAAGGGCTATGACTTAACGCACCCGGACTNTCATAAGCCAAAGGGCTATGACTTAACGCACCCGGACTTTGACAGATCAGGTTTGTTATTATTAATTCTGTTTCATATTTACGATACAATCATATTTATTGTGCATTTTGTATGCGATCAGAGGGTGCGCCGCGATTCTTAGGTGAACACGAGGAGACCCTGTATGCGGTGAAAGGCGAACCCGTGACCCTTGAGTTCTGGATATATTCACATCCGGACGCCAACATTATTTGGCAGTTTGAGGACCAAAAGGTGATAACAATTGATATTTTGTTTGAATTCCTGACGGCATGCGAGTCAGTATTGTTGGCCGCAAAAGTACAGTTTGGCAACAATACTGAATTAAGCCGTCAGCCAATTGAGTGATTAGATTTGTCCGTTGAATTTTGAATTAATTCAATTCTCAAATTTTATTCGCTCGTGTAATTGACATTAAACAGCAATACTAAATATTGAACTCAATAAACCATATAATATAATATAATACCTGATTATAGATACAAATGGGATCGGGAGGAAGGTTTGACACATTGCAGGACAGGGGCGGACAGAACTGTCTATTCCTGACCAAAATGACCGAGGGTGATGTGGGCTGGTATACATGTGTGGCCACCAATATTCACGGCTCGGATATGCGAAAAATAAAGGTATTGTTAGCCGAAGCGCCCGTCTTTACCAAACGCTTCGACGAGACAACAGTCTTAAACCGAAGACACGCCCGCTTTGAGTGCTCTGTCGTCGGTATACCTCAGCCAACGGTCCGATGGTTTAAGGACTGGCAGCCAATGCACGAATCGGATCGCATCAAAATCCTATGGGAGTCTCCAGACAGAGCCACTCTCTTCATCAACGGATCCATTGNAGCCAACGGTCCGATGGTTTAAGGACTGGCAGCCAATGCACGAATCGGATCGCATCAAAATCCTATGGGAGTCTCCAGACAGAGCCACTCTCTTCATCAACGGATCCATTGTTAAAGATTCCGGACTTTACTCGTGTTTGGCCTCCAATATCGCGGGTCACGCCTCCATCTCAGCGATGCTCAACATTGAGGGTAAGTGAGAGCACCGGACGGCACGGTTTCGCACAGTTATTAACCGTCGATTTCATATTGAATAACAACAGAGTCAGAACTAGAATACGATAAATACACGTTTGGTTACAATAAGTTCATAAAAGCCAAGACTAAGCCATTTGAGGCCTATTACGACACGGGAGACGAGTTGGGTCGGGGCACTCAAGGCATTGTCTACCACGCGGTCGAGAGGGCCACCGGCCGGAGCTTCGCCTCGAAGATGATGCACGCGAGGGGAGACATGAAAGAGCACATGACTGCCGAACTCGAAGTGATGAATCAATTGGGATATCATCCACGAGTGACCCGTCTGTGGGACGCATTCGCGTCGACACCCAATTCGCTGACTCTCGTCACAGACCTGTGCGGAGGCGGAGAACTTATGAAAGCTATCCTCCAAAAGGGGTCCATCACTGAGAGTGAAGTCGCGCTTTATATCCGACAGATTCTCGAAGGACTCGATTATTTGCACTTTAAAAATATCGCTCATTTCGGTCTCAATGTTAGTATTGACTAATGTTTTGCAATGAATTCAATGATTTTAATTGACGTATATTTTGTTGTCCTAAAGATTGGCGACGTTTTGCTCGAACGGATCAATGGAAGCGATATAAAGATCGCAGACTTTGGTTTAGCTCAACGTATTATTCCAGGCATTAAATACATTGTAGAGTTTGGTCAGCCGGAGTTCATC